CGTGGAGTCTTGTGCCTGCGAGTTTGACTTGATATAATTGGTAGATGACTATTTCTAACAGTTTTCTCGTGTTGTGTGGAAGCAGTTAGCTTCAGATGGCTGATCAACTACGTCTATAAATAAGATTATTCAAGCATTTTATCGCGAGTGCAGTGTTGATTGTTTTATTACATTAGTCGCAGTGTAAGTGTAAGGTAAATACATTTATTTCTCAAATCCAGATGAAGGATTTGAGATATCGTGTTTTGAAGTAGTGATGGCCAGATTCCTTGGAAGATTAAAACGTGGAATATTTTTCGCATTCGACTCAATTCCGTATTTCATTTTTTAAAGCGGATCAAAAATTGCCAAGAATGTTTCGCCTTCATCTCTACTAGGAAGCTGCTCACTGATTTTAGTAGCGAGATCGCGCCACCATTTATTGTCTATCTGGGCTTCTGTTGTGCTGAATGAAATTTTCCCTTCAGCTTAGCACAGGCTTTAGCTCGAAGTATGCGACACAGTGTATGCATTTCTGCTGAAAGGTTTTTTATTGTGGAAATTATAGTAATATCAGCGCGCTGTTATCACTTGATCATTATGCTCCAGCGACTACGGCTTTCCGAGTTTATTACTCATGAACTAACCATGCCACGTTCGATTCACATTTTTTGGCGACTGATTTCCTGTGATTTACAGGCCGACTCATTGTCCAACCTGAGGCTGGTCTCATCGAGAAACGCTTGTTATCTGTGTTTGTTGTTATTTTTTTGCGATTTTCTGTTAACATCGCTGAGATATCGGCTACCTGTCACCTGTCGACAGTGACTGCTAACGGGAAATATCTAAATGAAGTCGAAAACATTGTCTAGGTTCTCAATGACACCTGGGTTTCTTTTCCATCATGGCAATCAGAGGACAGCAGTAACGTCGCACAGAAGAAAACTCAATTTGAAGAATGGATGTATCGTACTGAAGATGAGCGTTTTGAGGTAACCTTCATTCGTGTACTATGTCTTGTTCACTGCTGGCTTGTTCTGACTTATTGCCTTAGCTGGACATCGTGATCGAGGTCAACCGTTCAACGATACAGGTGTTTGAAAACGTGCTCAAACGAATGTCGCACATGAGCACCGAAGAGGCGAAGCGCTTCCAGTTGGACGACACTTTGGGTGGCACGTCGATGACAATTCATCAACGCGCCATTAGCCGGTAAGGTTGCAAAAGGCGTTTTTTATCTAACGTTGACCGTTTAATCTCTCAATATTTGCGTTCCTCATGTTTTTGTAGTGTATACGGCGACTGTGCATCTGATGTGATTGAGGGATGTAAGAGAAACCCTTATGTCGCTGTTCCGATCGTTCTGAAGAGGTAAAAAGCGCTACTGGTGTGATATGACTTTGACTGATGTATTTGATGACTTAGGCTCAAAGAAAAAGACGATGAATGGCGCGAAGCGCAAAAAAATTTTGACCACATTTGGCGTGAGCAGAACCAAAAATACTACTGGAAGTCGTTGGATCATCAGGGTATCACTTTCAAGCAGAACGATCTGAAAGTAGTCAGATCGAAAGCGCTCATCAGCCAGATCGAAGCGCTCTACGACGAGGTTCGTTTCGGCCCAAAAAATATTTTTCTCTTTACCCATTTTTCTGTTTCTTCTGCTACTTCATCAGAAATACACGTGTTTATGTAATATTTTCAGCGCCACGAGGCTATCGAACAACAAGCTGGTGAAATACCCACTGGTCCTCATTTGGAAGTCACCTATCCAGAAGAACGCACGGTGTTCTGCGATGTTCATGATTTACTGATTCATCACGTGAAACGTCAGACAAGTACGACTAAACTCTTCTTGGTTCTCGCTCGTTTCCTTCCGGAATAATCCGAGGAACCATCATAAATAGCAGAATTTGCCTTATGCAACATCCGTCTTATATCTTGGTTGGACATGCACGATCGTTGCCGGGCAATACAGGCTGCTCACAATTTGCGTTATTGAGTCGTTACGAGAAACAACTTTAAAAAAACGACGTATATCGACACTTAGACTGTCAGTAAATGATGTAGCATTTCAGAGACAGTTTTTTGGTCATTATTTGCCGTAAAGTATTTAAGATGTTCTTAAAGAACTCTTGGAGTCCGTTATGGAACCGAATGGTGAAAGTGTTACTTCGATTAAATTTGCAGATTAAATGCAATGAAATTTGTAGAAATAGTTTCTTATTAATGGTTCTTATCAATAGTTCTTATTGCATATTCAACGTTTGAATTTGTATTATAGGCATTCAAAGTGAAGAAAAACGTAAGATCAAAAGAATACTTAAGACTATTTTGCCCAGACTGTTCGGGATTAAGGCGAAAGAAAACGATAGCGAAGAAGACACTAATCGTATGTTTTATCACTTGTCATGTTCGGCATTACATTCATTTTCATATAAAAAGAAGCCGATGCAGATGGTCTGTCCGACGAAAGTGATACTGGAGCATCTGTCATTGAAATACCGATGAAAAGGAGACGAATGAGCGCGGACGGCACTGACGGCAGCGAATCGCATCGAATTTCTGACTCTGGCGGAGCGAGTGTCAAAGATCTACACCCAGTCAGATATAACCGACTTCGTATTAGCGTTGAATTTAATTTTCTCGAACCGAACGATTTAGCTTTACAGCGGGCATTGCTTAATATTCTTGCCAAATCCATGGTACGTCTTCCTTCGTCTGCATCAGCTGTTTTGTGAGCGGCTGTCGATGTTGTTCAACAGGGCGGCAACCATTTTAATGGAATCTAACTGCGACACCGATATCGACGACACCACTGGCGAACATCCTATATCAGACGCTCTCGCTTGCGGCTGTAAATGTATTTTGTTTAGTTATATCTGCCCTGAAATACACTCTACCGTTTTCCTCCGATATGTGTATTTCAGCGCAGCCGTCGCCGGCAAAGTTTTATCCGTCGCTTATCCGCTTGATCAAGAGTCTGCTCGACGGTCAGATCGATGGCGGTCAGTACGAAGATTCACTGCGCGAAATGTTCACCATCCACGCTTATATCGCTTTCACGTTCGATAAGATGGTGCAGATCATGGTTAAACAGGTAGTGCAAAACTTCGACGAGCTCACGTTTCCTTCCATGTGTGATGTAATGGAAAGCGATGGTTTAATGTAAATTTCAGAACTGCTTAAATTAAATTTTTGAAGACCTTACTTTTCTGTTCTTAAATCAAAGCACGGAGGATCGGAAATTCAATAGGAAGAAGATAAACAGTGGAAGAGAATTAGGGTGGAGAACAAGCAAAAGCATATTCGCGTAATCAGCACAGTTGCTCTGAGAAAGTATGATATTTTCTGTATGTGATTATCAGTCAGTCATTGTTGATGACTGCTTCTACATTCGGGTCACGGAAGCAGCAAGAGTTTTTCCAACGTTTCTGGTCCTCTGCCAGCGTCTGAGTTTCGACAGAAGAAAACTAGAGTTTGAAGCAGGGTCCCTTGAGGCGTTTGCCTCATCTCATTCTTCACCGTCCCTTGAATCTACGGCCAGTCGGTTGAGCAAATAGTACCTGTTTTGCCTTCCTTTCTGAAGGCGTTCGCAAAACGTGTCCAAACCATCGCATCTGTGACTTCTCAATCTGGCGAAGCAGTGGCTATGCACCAAGGCTTTTTCGGATGTTTGTACTCTGGATCATGTCGAGACGCATGAGTCCAGAGATTCGTCTTACAATGCGCATTTCATCTGCATGTACGTGAATATATCCCCATTTTAACTTACGTTCCTTATTGCCAATAATATTTCAATGAGTTGTTGCAGTCTTAATATACTTTGCCAGTAATTCCAAAAATATTCATTCGCTAGAAGTGTATTAATAAGCGTACATCTCCACCACCGTGTTGCACTATATTATGGTACTACTATTGCCCCTTATGCCTAAAGGTTTGTGCTATTATATTTCGGGCATATGAGCCTTCTTTTTGATCTATCGCGTATTCAGTTTGGCACTTCTTTGAAGTCACTCCTGATGACCAAGACATAGAGAAAAATGCTCCGTGTGTCTTTCTTTTGTCAATTCTTTTTACCTGTAAAAATAATCATGTTCTAGTAGACCAGAAGTGCATTTTGAAAGCACTTCATTCACACCGGATTACATTTTTGCATGTGATAATATGTCTGATATCTATACTCTTTTGCTGTGCTAAACTGTGACCATATTCTCCACTTACTTGAGATGGAATCCACGTTTACTGATCATTTATCATTCGTTTTTGTTTGTTATCAGAGCCACTGTAGCATTTTGCGCTTGTACATATTCGTTAAAGAGAAGCCTACCTTAATGCTACGAAGTACTGGTAAGATAAAATATGTTTTTGGTACTAGGTTTTTGTCAGACTGAAAGAGAAGTATTACTGCGCTTTCATGATAATATCGTCGTTATTGCGTGTGATCATTATTAGAAAGACTGTTAGTGTCAGTTAGTATATCAGGTACCCATCCATATCCTATTTTACTCTATCCTTGTGACAAGAGAGGAGCAAATAATGACCGTTAACAGATCGTCAAAGTAAAATCAAAAATCTTTCACACGATGTTTTCTCCTTTAAGCTAGGAAAGGCAAAAAGCAGAAATATTTTGCCATGAGTTTAACTTTCCGGTCTTTAGAATTTCTTTATCCTCTACCATAGTTGCCAAAAACTTAAATTTTCTGACCCAAGAAATTTTATCCCCTGCCATAGTTTTTCAGTCAGTTCTTCTTGAAAAGTTTGTTTACTTTGCCCAATAAAGGACTGGACACGTCTTCTTGCGCCCGACCCCTCTTTCTGTTTTTTAGATGCCGCACCGATGTTTAATCTTCAAATGCTCCAAGCTAAGGTCATTCTGTCACGGGCACAGAACTTGGACAAACGTTTTTGACTGGGCATTGTGGTTAGAGTCGACCGTACGGTTGATCTAACGACGTTTCTAATGTTGTTGTTTTTATGATGATTTCGCTTAATTTTTCATGTTTAGTTGCATGCGATGGTCACCGATCCTGTTTGCATCGACGCTCTTGAACTACATAACAAATGGATGTGGGAAGCAAGATCGAAGGATTATTTTATTGCAGGTGTTCGCTCGAGGCTCGAGGAAGCTTACCAAAGGGAGGCCGAAAAGATTATGGCAAACTTAAACTGCTTCAAAATCTATTTCGTAAGCACAGTTGTATGTTGTTTTCGGTTCGCCGCAAAACTTTCTCTGCATTTTTGCCAGCTGATATGCCATTTATCGGCTTTGCGTATTTCCTTTAACGTATTTACAGCAAGTTTTTGCACAACCCACGCTCATTCTGCAGTCTGTTGGTATTCGTGTACTATTGGATCATATCTAATACTGAAAGAACATACAGACTTATCTTTCATTGCCCATCATTTGTCAAAAACGTTTAATCAGGGTTGTCCAATCTTTCAAGTTTTCGCTAATATTTTTTAAGTCTAGATGACGGTTAACTAATAACAATGACTTGCTAAATGTTTATAAGCAAAACCTTAACTAAATAGCCAGACAGTTCAGGATATTCGAGCACCACCGTTTTGTTTAATGTTTCATAGATCTTTTTCAGGCAATTTATTATTGGGACACGTGTTACCCATCTGGATTAGTAAAAGAACATGAAGATGATATCGTTCGCCTGGCTTATTAAGTACTTGCTTGGTCTTCGACTCGAACAGCCTCATCGTCATCGAGCCATTGTCCCACTATTTTTCTCGATTGGCATTGCCAACAGATGGGATAATCTGTGCCAATTAAGGATTGCGGACGGCGTGGCCGAATTTCAGGTGGACAAGTTCGATTCGCAGGGAAAAAGTCACAATGAACAGTGATAGTCTCAGGTCGAGGTGCAAGCGACACACTCCTTTGTAGAGTAAAGGCCGCCAATATTATCACTTTCGTAATCGCAGAGTAGAAGAGACAACTTCAGTAAAAAGCGAAACCGTCTGTACCGAATTCCGCAGGCCATCGTTAGCTCTGCCAGCGATGGAAGGCCTTAATTCGCTATTACAAAAAGTGGACGTCGGTTCCCTGCGCGTCTCGAATTATTCCACAACGGCGGTTCGGTTTTGATTTACCAGAGGATGCTAAGAATCCCAAGTGAAAGTCCGCCATCTGGTAAACGGATCCGGATTTACCGCGCACTTTTAACTGCAGAACACTAGCGATGGAAGAAACGTTAAACTAATTAATGTGGGAAAGATTC